GTTGTTGCCATCTCTCGCCTTGCCGTTTCTGGTTGTCTCCGGGTACCCCTTGTGACGGCATTGGTAAGTTGCCACGTCAGCAGGCCACGTGAGAAGACGACGTCAGCAGGACACGTCAGCAGGCTACGTAAGTACGTCAGCAGACCACGTCAGCAGGCCACGTCAGCAGGCCACGTCAGCAGGCCACGTCAGCAGGCCACGTCAGCATTGCCACGTCAGCAGCAAGGGATACCACATCAGCAGGCACCGGTTTGGTCTATGCTGTTGCGTTCACAGACAGCAGTCATGGACCAGAAGGCCGGGGAAACTGACGAGGCCTATCAGGCCCGCATGTTAGCCTGGAGTACCGAGACAAAGAAGCGGGCAGATGACGCTGCCGCAGCAGCCAAGAAAAGGGCAGAGGATGCCGAACAGGCACGTCTGCTGGCCGTGCAACAACAGCGCCAGCACGACGAGGCAGCAGCAAGGGCTGCTGACGAAGAAAGAACACAGCGTCGTAAAAAGATATTCACCGGAGAGCAGGCGTTACTTACCATGGCAGCAGAATGGCGAAGCGAGGCCGAGAACAACCAGTTGGAGGACAGCGCAAACAAGATAGCGATCCTCCTCTCGCATCTCACGGATCTCCTGGCAACCTGCATTACACAGCAGGCAGAGATCCTTGGTCTCGACAACTCGGTAGCTCAGCTCCAAGACCGCCTTCAGCGGGTGGAGCAGCGACCAGTCGCCGCCGCCGACGCAGGTTCTTCCAATACTGCCGACCGCCTCACCGCATCGGAGATGCACGTCGGCTCCCTCCAGGATGGCGCACAGTTACAGCAGACCGTGACGCAACAATTGCAGCAGCGGATCTGCACTACCGCCACCACCTCGAGTCCGGAGCTGCACGAGACAGCTCCTAAGTTTGGGCAAGAGATCTTCCACGACTCAATCAAGACAGATCCGATTCCATGGTTTCGCAAGTTTGAGCTCACGCTGCAGCTCCACAACGTCAAGGAAAACAAGCACCACGCTTACTTGTACTCTCGCTCAAGGGGCGCGTGTCAGGCGTGGTTGGACAACTTGTTGTCCAAGTACGGAGTGGTAGCAGCGGACTTGCACACCATGATCAGCTGGGATGATCTGAAGGCGGCGTGGCACAAGCGGTTCCAGGTGGAGCCGCCAGAGATCAAAGCCATGGACAAGTTTTTGGTTTTCGAGCAAGGCTCGCTGCCGAGTACGGACTGGATCGCCGAGTACCAACGCTTGACGTCAGTCCCAAACATCCAGATGGGCTTCAAGGCCATCCACCACTATTTCATCTCAAGTATGTCCGACATTGAGCAATGCCCTGACGCATGTTGAGGACACCTTGACGACGACGGCGGAACTATTCGACAAGGCTGCACAGATCATCGTTACGAACAAGGAGGCCAAGAACCTCCGTTCATCTGCGTCAGGCCCGAGCAGGGACCAGCATCGGCCAAGAGTGGCCGTGGTCGCAGCGGCAGCGCCGTTAGACCAATCCAGCGAGGCTGCGTGTGCCAGTGAAGGGGACAGATTCGCAGCCGCCCGGGAAGGTGGCCGCCCCGGCAGAGGCCGAGGTCGCGGCAAGCCGAAGACACACACCGTTTCTAGCCCCGGGCCCGGTGCAGCAGCTCAGACAGGCCCATGGACCCCGTACGCCATCTCCGAGTCCGCCTACAAGRCGCGCGAGAGATTCCACTATTGCCTTTGGTGCAACAACGATCTTCATCAGACGCAGGTTTGCCCATTGAAAGGCAAGGGCAGACAGGGAAACTGAGCACCGCCGAGAGTGACGCGACGACACTCTCGACGCCTTCGGAACTGGTTTCTTCGCGAGTGACCAACCTTCATTCTGAGGCGCACGCGGAAGTCGACAGTCCTCCGCTTCTATTTTCTTTTGAGGACTATGCTGCCTGGCTCGTTCCAACGCTGGGTACTCAAGCTCAAGGACAAGGAGTGTGTGCGGTTTCTTCTCCGTCCGGCAACAACGACATATCGTCTTCAAGTGATTCATCACGGGATTCGGCACGCGAGTTCAAGATAGAGGTTTTGGACCTGCTCACGTCTGAGGACTTTGCATGGCTTCCTCTCCCGACCACAGGCTGTTTGTCGGGACCGCAATGCGCAACACTATGCGCTCATCTCCACACTTACCTTTCCTTCTATGCACCACCAACTTGGCCGACGGATGACGAAGTCGCGGTGGGGGACATCCTGGCATACGTTACCAAGGTGGTCCGCGAGTTTCGCACGCAGCGGTACGATAACAACAATGCACCGCTCATGTATGTCCGCATCCAGGTTGGGCAAGCGTCCTGCAGCGCTTTGCTGGATAGCGGCGCGASTCGCAACTTCATGAGCCAGTCTTTTATGCAAAGAGCTGGCCTTGGCGCACAAGTTCGGAGAAAGGCAAACCCGACGGCGATCAAGTTGGCGGACGGAAAGACGCAACAACTACTTGACCGTTACATCGAGGCCGTACCGGTCTACTTCGCACCTCATGCATGCGAACCGGTGACGTTCGATATTCTCAACACGGACTTCGACATCATTCTGGGAATGCCTTGGCTTGCAAGTGCGGATCACACGGTCAACTTCCATCGGCGGACTCTTAGCATTCGCGACGCCTTCGGTGCGGAAGTGGTGTGTACAATTTCTCTACCGCACTCTTCGATCCGGTGCCAAGTGGTGACGGCCAAATCATTCCGGGCGACTTGTGCTTACGAGCAGCCCGAGGAAATCGACATATGTTTCCTACGGACCGTCGCGGTAGCCGACTCTTCACCCACGGACTTGTCTTCAAACCCCCGTGTGGTACGGTTGCTGGACGAGTTCGCCGACATCTTCCAGTCACCTACCGGTGTGGTGCCGGGTCGGCCTATCTCTCACGAGATCATTCTTGAGCCCGGTGCCGTGCCGCCGAAAGGTTGCATCTATCGGATGAGCGAGGAGGAGCTTGAGGTACTCCGCGCACAACTCGATGATTTGTTGGCCAAGGGCTGGATCCGCCCGAGTAGCTCCCCATATGGAGCACCAGTTCTCTTCGTCAGGAAGAAGAACAAGGATCTACGATTGTGTATCGACTACCGCAAGCTCAACGTGCAAACCGTCAAGAATGCGGGGCCTCTTCCTCGCATCGACGATCTTCTCGAGCGACTGGGCGGTGCGAAGTATTTTTCCAAGTTGGATTTGAAATCAGAATATCATCAAATCTCGATTCAGCCAAACGATCGCTACAAAACCGCATTCAAGACGCGGTACGAGCATTTTGAGTGGGTGGTCATGCCTTTTGGCCTCACCAACGCCCGACGACGTTCCAGGCGGCGATGACCAATGAGTTCCGTGCAATGTTGGACCGGTTCGTGCTGGTCTACTTGGACGATATTCTTGTCTAGAGCCGGACATTGGAGGATCATATTGGACATCTTCGACGAGTGTTGGAGACGCTCCGCCGTGCCAAGTACAAGGCCAACCGCGACAAGTGCGAATTTGTCCGGCAAGAGCTGGAATACTTGGGCCATTTTGTCACACCGGAGGGCATCAGTCCGCTATCGGACAAGATTCAGGCCGTCCAAGAGTGGCCGGAGCCTCGGAACGTCACGGATGTCCGCTCGTTCCTCGGTCTTACCGGCTACTATCAGCGCTTCATCAAAGGCTACTCCAAGATCACTGCCCACTTGAACAAGCTTCAGTGCAAGGATCGGCCGTTTGACTTTGGAGAGGAGGCGCGAGGATCATTCTTCGCTCTCAAAGCCGCGCTATTGTCTGCGGAGGTCTTGCGAATCTACGACCCGCTCGCGCCTACGCGTGTCACTACGGATGCGTCAGGCTATGGCATTGGTGCAGTCCTCGAGCAACATGATGGTGTGGACTGGCACCCGGTCGCGTACTTCAGCAAGAAAGTGCCCCTCGCATTCCATTGACGATGCACGCAAGAAGGAGCTCCTTGCCTTCGTCCACGCGCTCAAGCGGTGGCGGCACTTCCTCCTTGGTCGAAGCCAATTTCGCTGGGTAACGGACAACAATCCGTTGGTTTTCTACAAGACCCAAGACACCGTCAACAGCACCATCGCTCGATGGATGGCTTTCATTGACCAGTTCGATTTCTTTCCCGATCACATTCCTGGGAAGTCGAACCGTTTTGCGGATGCACTTTCACGGCGTCCGGATCATTGTACTGCGGTCTACTCGACTTTCGAGATTGACGATGATCTGCGGAGCAGCTTCATCCGCGCTACCAAGCCGACCCCGAGTTTCGCGACAAGTACGCGAATTGCTCCTCTCCTAATCGGGCTCCTTCTCACTACCGGATCCAAGAGGGGTACTTGCTTGTCCACACATGGGGGAAGGACCTTCTTTGCGTACCGAGTGATCCTCACTTGCGTACACGGCTTCTTGGCGAGTTCCACGACGTTCCCGCCACTGGACATTTTGGAGTCAATCGCACGATTGGCCGACTTCGCCAGCGATTTTGGTGGCCCGGCCTTCTCTGCGACGTCACGCGCTATTGCGAGTCATGCGAGGTTTGCCGACGCTGCAAATCCCGCAACCACCGTCCGTACGGCGAGTTACGACCATTGCAGTCCCGTTGAGGCGAAGGGAAGTGATTGCCATGGACATCACTGGCCCGTTCCCCAAGCACAAGACCGGAGTGGATGGGATTCTCACGGTGGTCAACCGACTCACCAAGTTCGCCATGTTTTTGCCTTGTCGCTATCATGCCAAGGCACCGGAGTTGGCCGAGGTTCTGTACGCCGGTTGGATTCGCACCAAGGGTTACCCCAAGGAGATCGCCTGCGACCGCGACACTCAGTTCATGTCCGATTTTTGGTTGGCACTCATCAAGTGATGGGGCTCATCTCTCAAGCCCAGTTCAGCTCGCCACCCTCAGACCGATGGCCAGACGGAGAGGGCGCATCAGACCGCACAAGTTCTCCTTCGCACTCTCATCCGCCCCAACCAGAAAGACTGGGTTGAGCGACGATGTTGAGTTGGCCTACAACTCTTCCATCCACCCGGCTATTGGGATATCGCCCTTCGAGTTCGAGCATGGCTCGCCGGTCACATCACCGTTGGACACTATTACTCCACGCACGGCCGAGAGCGACGACCATCTTCTTTTCTTGCGGCGGATGCAAGAGCTTCTTGTCAAGGCACGCGACCAAATGGCTAAGACGCAACAGCGCATGCGCCAACAGGCAAATCGCCAGCATCTTCCTTGTCCATTCCGCGCCGGAGACCTTGTCTGGGTTTCAGCAACGGAATTCAGCCTTGAACAGGACATCTCTCGCAAGCTCCTTCCGAAATGGATGGGGCCTTGGCCGATCACCGAGCCCGCTGGGGACGCACCTGAGGGGCCTTCCTTCACGATTCAGGTGCCTAGCCACTTGCCCGTCTACCCAGTCTATCATTGTTCCAAATTGGCTCTGTACATGCCTGCGGAACATGATGATTTTCCCGGGAGACGTACGCAGGATCCACCTTCTATGGATGGTTTTCAGGAGGTCGGCGACATCATCTCCCAGCGACGCTACGGCAACAAGCCAACTGAGTATCTGGTGCATTTTGCTTACTGCACTCATCGAGCTGATCGTTGGTTGACCCGTGCGGAACTGCAAGCGACAGCTCCAGACGTTCTCACACGCTACGAACGCAAGATGCAAGGCAAGCCGGATTCTTCGGCTCCACGCCGCGCCCGCGTCCAGGTTCCACCTGCAGACCGACGACTTCGCCCTCGCCCCGGCTTGATTTCATAAGGAGGGGGGGGTGTTACATGCAGCGTGTGTACACACGGACCATTTTGCAGGCCCGACGGCCATTTTGCAGGCCCGACTGGATTCAGGCCAAAACCCTGGATTTCAGGCCGAAAGCTTGAAATTCAGGGCTTAGCCTGAACCCAAGGGCCATTTTTGGTCGTTCATCAGAACGACCAACCCTGAAACTCAGGCACCGAACCAGGGTTTTGGGAACAGCCTATATTTAGACTGTTCCCACACCTGCCTCAAGCAGGCTGCTGCACGCCAGCCCCTGGCACACTTCGGCATTGGCAAGAGCTGCCTCCTCGGCCTGCTCGCCCTCCTGCAGTCAGGAGGCAGGCCGAGGAAGTACTAAGGGACTTCCCAGGCACGTCACGGGTAGGCAGTTCGGTAGTTGTAGTTTTCAGGATTCGGGAGCAGCACTCTGGAGGGAGCGCTGCGTTGTAGTAGAGTAGCATTAGCTAGTAGTCTTCAGCGCTGGGTGCAGTAGGTAGCTGTAGTCTTCGGCGCTGGGCGCCATAGCTAGGTAGTGGTAGAACTGATCGGCGGAGGCCAGAGATCACTTACCTGCAGCGCCGTTGCTCCAGCTTCGTCTTCAAGGTACCTGCAGCACAGCGCCAACATCACAGGTTAGTACCTTGTTTGTAACAGTGAGAGAGAGAGAGTTCTCTTCTTCCTCTTCTCAGTCTACCATCTTCTTGATTGGGCTAGTTAGTAGCACTCTGGCATTCTGCTTCGTTACTCCGAACTACGTGTGCGAGGTCAGTCCTGTCAGGTAAGTCTTTGTATCAAGTCTTCCCTGCGCTCTTCAGCATCTTCATGTATGAATGAGAACGTATATTGCTGGTCGAGATTCTCGTAACCGCATTGTCTATTCAATCCTTTTCATCACATTGCAGATTCTCGGTTTATTGCATACATTGCATATCTATGCATGTAACAATGGCTGTTCGTGAGGTAGTGCTACGCCTCATCCCCCCACCTCCAGACTTGGCCTACCATGGGCCAGTCTAGTAGACTGTGTTCTAGAGTAGGCCTTTTTTGGGGGGAGCGCAGTCCATACTAGGAGCACAGTGGGGATGATATTCCCTTCTAGGTCCGTTCTGGCTGTGATCCAATCTGGCGTCAGCAGGCACTTTACAAAGGGCACGATGGCCATCTCCTTCTCCAGTCTCATTCAGATTCATGAATGTGGCCACCTGCATGACCAGGTCCATTCTGACAGGAGCGCACTGGTCATCTCCTTCTCTAAGTTAGCATGTTTCCTTTCCATTAGACCATCAGGGCTATCAGTGACCTTTCCCACCTAGAGTGCACTCCCAATTCCGGGGACAGTCCCTGCTCAGGATGCAGCCCCAAACATCAAGGGATTGGAACACGATTTGCCTGGACTGCAATTAACCCCACAAAGCGTAAGCCACGTGGGGGATTTGCAAATGGCTGACCAGGTTCGTTTGGATGAACCACAAATTTGTGCCCTGCCGTGTGCAGACCACATGGGTGATCTGCAAACGACTGACCAGCAAACAGCCCAAGACATTTTAGGCTTGCAACACCATCTCGGCATACTTGCAAGCAGACGGACTGGACGAGCGTCCGGTCCCGTCCGGTCCGCTTTGCCGCGTGCGGCACCCTCCCCCCGGACCAGACGGACCCGGAACGGACCGGACGAGGCCGTTTTTTTTTTTGGGGGTGGGGGGTGGGGCGTAACTGGTCGCCGGGCGCACATTCGTGCGCCGCGCGGGTCCGGTCCGGCAGTTTGCCGCACGTGCGGAACCGCCCGGACGGCGTGCGCTTGCAAGTATGCATCTGGGTGATCCGTAAATTGTTGGCCAGCATCCAGCACACCAGCCTGAGATCCTCACCAATCTCTGTAGTCTGACAGCAACTAATATCCGTCTTCACATTCTCCACCGCGCATTTTATACGCCGTCAGACTTGCAAGCAATCGCCCTTCAGCTTGATGCTGATCCTCCCCGCCTACAGCCAGAGGATGGTAATTTTTATACCAGGGAAAGAGGCTTTACCATTTTTTTGAAACTTCTGGGGAGGGCGACACTTGGGAGAGTGATGAGAGCATCTCCCTCAAGTGGTCTCGCGGGTGAAGGCTCCGTCTATTGGTGGGGAGCTGCACCTGCTAGAAACCGGGTCCAGCGTCTCAAATATTACAAGACAATGTTGAGTTTGCTGGAAACCCGGTCCAGCGTCTCAGTTATTACGCTATTGTCCTGGTTGCTGGCCTTCGTACTGCTGAAGGGCCCGGTTGTTCCGGCTATGTTTATTGTTGTATTCCTCCTTCCTCCTCTTCTGACGCCGCTGTTAACTTTTGATCCCCTACCAAGAAGGCTCGGCGAGGTCTGTTGTTAAGAGGATCCAGCTTCCGCTGTTGTTGTGTTCCTGCTTTCTCCTTTCCTCTTCCGTCATTGTGTAGTTCAGGGTCTCAGTCCCTGTATTGGGCAGGCCTCCGTGTAGCACCTCTGACTATGTTGTGGGTAGCTTGGTTTTGGTTTTCCTCCTTTGTTGTTGTCACTCCTCCTGTGGTAGAGACCGCAGCATTAACTGGCCTTCCTTGTGCTGGTGGCCGCTCGAGTTGCGGCTGTCTTCTGTGTTGTTACCCTGCACCTCACAATACTTAATCTGCTCAGCTGACTCGATGGGGAGTGCTGGGGAACGGGGCCGAGAGCCCAGCAGGTTCAGGAGGGGAGGGGGTAGGAGGCTTGGGGTTGACTGGGAGTTGGGGGGGCAGGGGGGCAGTGAATGGTGAAGGGCCCGCGGGTATAAGAGGGGGAGCGGGAGGGGGCGGGGAGGGGGCAGGGAGGGGGTGGGGAGGGGGGGTCCACCGGGAGGGCCGGGGGTGGTGGCGGCGTGACGGGGGGAAACCATCGGAAGTGGGGGGGGAGGCTGCGGGAACACCGTGGGCGAGTCGTTGGGCAGGGGGGGCGGTGTTTGATCAGGCGTTGGGGGGGGTTGAGTTGACTGCATCGGTGCCCCGGCCTGGGGGGGGAAGGGACGAGGGGACTCGGGCGGGTAACTCACTCGGGAGTTGTGCTCCTGATCCTACATCGAGGCTCGCCATGGGCATAGCGCCCAGTGTTGGGGGAGGCAGGGGCACAGGGAAGCTTCCC